TTGGTAGTCCAGGCTGGCCTTGAACTCACAGAGATCCACCTGGCTCTGCCTCCCGAGTGCTGGGATTAAAGGCGTGCGCCACCAACGCCCGGCTACCATTATACATTTTAACAATATCCTGTTAAAATGCTACCTCCGTCATAGCTTCTTTATAGCCTGTGCTCTTCTTCTTTTTCTTTATAATTTTCTTTTATTTACATGGAAAAATAATAGTAATGAGTACCTGAGTTAGAACTGACATTAATGCAGACTGAATATAAACTTGTAAAAGAATTCTATGTAAAAGAATATTTTTCAAAGAAATGGTATTTTATTTAGTCATAAGGCTGCCAGTTATGAAAGGGAACACAGTTTTTTTTTTTTTTTTTTTTTAGAACTACATGTTACTTAAAGAATAGCATGAAGACAATGGCCACTGACATATTACTCACTGTGGGAAATTGCTGCCACTCAATTACTAGCATCATAATTTACTTCACAAGCTCTGCCTTCCAGAGTCTGAATATGAGCCTTTGAATATAAGGCAGGGTATCAATAAATCTTACTTTCTAGCCATTTTATTTACCTTCTTTTCTTGTCTTAGGATTGCCCATGTTAAGACTGTTTAGTAACTTTCACAGGAGAACCTTCCCTGCAAATTTTCCTAGAAAATATTTTTTTTTTAGTTCCTGTTCATTTAACAGATGTTCATCATAAAGAAGCATCAGCCACTTACTAGTCATGTTGTAGGGAGGCAGGGGAAATAATTATCTTAAATAGTTATCTTCATGTTGTCAAGTCTTTTTTTTCATTTTATTAGTACAAATGAACTCTCAAGTCCTCTTTTACATTCAGAATTTAATTATAGCTGCACTAGTGTTGGGGACTATTGGGGTCCAGCCCCTAATAGTCTCCTTTCCAGGGTCCGCGGAAAGATCTATCAACCAGCTGAGAATCTATTCTTTAAGGTCGGTAAATCAGTCTACGCACGCAGAGTTCTTTGGTCCATTCGCTTTAATTCCTCTGGCATAACATCCTTTATACACAGCTTCAGTTCTGTTCTCATGTCTAGCTCCTTTCTTGCCTGATTTCTCTATATTTATCTACTGTCCCCTCTAAGTTCTATCTTAATTCCTTCATCTAGTTCTGTCCATTCTAGGTTCACGTCTATCTAGTTCTTTCCCCTATCAGTTCTCTCCCATCTCCTTCTCTCTCATCTGGCTCTTCCTCATCTTGTTCTTCCCCATCTTTCTCTTCCTCATCTTCCATCTCGTTCCTCTAGTCCTCTCTTTTAGCTCTTCAATTTAGTTCTTCCCCATCTCAGCTCGTTCCTCTCAAGTTCTTACCCATCTAGTTCTTCCATTCTCTTTTCTCCTCTCCCCCTGTGCCCTGGAAGTCCCGGTATATAAAACGGAGGGTCTGAGCTAAATTGTGTAAAGCTATTACTTAGCGTCCACCTCTCCTAGGCGGTGTCCCCTTGTGGAATTTACCATAAGTCAGGAGACTTGCATGTGGGCTGTTATCATTGTTAGTCCACCTGGGACTAACAATGGGTGCCCACCTGGGTGGTGTTTCCTGTAGTCCTTGAAAGTGGCTAAGGGAGATAATCTGATTCCAGAGAAAGCCTTTCCCTGAGGCTGTTCTCCAAATTACCTGGAATGTGTATGTCCAGAGAGTGCTCAGTCTACACTGTTAGTCCTTCTTGGGGAAAAGTCAATTGGGAAAGCTATGAAGGCACACATGATTTTCATAACAGAAGACAGCTGATATATAACAAGCCAAGTAACACCAAAAACTCCTTGGGATTTGGCTTCCTCTGGAGGAATTTCATGATCCCTCCAGGTAGTGACTTTGCCATAACCAGCTGAGTTCTTATGATATATTCCTGCGGCCCGCAACACACTAGCACAATTAGTTATAACACACTTCCCAAGTCTTATAATAAAATACAAAAATCTGAGAGGAAAAATTTTGGATTAATAGTTTCCATTTCCCTAAACAATTAGAAAACCAATATTGTTAATTGGTAACTTTATGATGAAGAACGTGTTTGAGCCTTGTTTCATTTGTACATGCTGAATACATGAAGGAGCATATATTTTACTGACCTAAATATTTTGTTGAGTAGTTTTGTTTGGGACACTTAACAGTATAAAGTCTTTTACAGTTCTTACAGTTGTAATATGTATACAAAATATTTAACAAATAAAGACAAGGTATCTATCAACATAGTTATAAAGGCTTAGAATTAGCTGCTGCCATGGACCATTTAAAAGAGGAAGAGAAGGACTCAAGAGATTGAAGGGTTCTTACTGGGTAGACAGATGTAGAAGGGTTAAGGCAAAAGGTAAAAGGAAAAAAATCATGATTGCAGTTGTGTGGCTAGTCTTCTATAATTCATCCTTGCATTTCCAGGAGGCAGCTGTTTATCAGTACTGAGGGAAGTGTCAGGTGGAAACCCGGCTTGTCTTGGCACTGTCCTCACTCTGCATTTAGTCTGTGTTGAAGCTTGATCTGGTGGGAATGATGAGCTTGCCTGAGTTGCTTTCATCCTTCCTGCAATTGTACCAGTAACTGTCAGATACAGGAACAAGGGAGAATAACCCTGAGTTCTGTGTGGATGCTGCAGCTTAACTGCATATCTTAGTCTGCAGTCATGTTCCCTATATTCTATCCATTTCCAGAGTTTTAGATTAAAGTCCTGCATTTATAGAGGACCAGGCACAATTCAAAGACTGGGGAATCTTGACAACAAAATCTGAAATGGTTTTGAGGCCTCTATGAATTTCTTAAATGATGAGGGGTGGTTTTTGATTACCTTTAAAGTACTGTTAAAATACAGAAATGTGTGGTCTTTGAAGCTGCATATATTAGAGCTAAAGCTAATACACACACACACACACACACACACACACACACACACACACACACACTTTAGAGCAGAAGCATGGTCTTGAGAAAGTTTCTTTGTGTCTGTAGATCATGGTTAGCCCATCTTCAGGTAGAGACAAAAATAAAAATGTTGCTTGAAATACAATTCTGATGAGCAGTAAAACAGGTAATACAACCACCACACTACCTCGAGGAAATGGATTTGATAGTGGATTATAGTTACTCTATTAGTCAGGGTTCTCTGGAAGAAGAGAGCAGATAGAACAAATACATATTGAAGTGGGTTTTATTTGGTTGGCTCACATGGTACATTTCCTGCGGTTCACACTGGAAGGGTGAAGAATTCTGTAGATACTCGGTCCATGAGGCTGGAGGTCTCAGCAGTTCCAGTCTGGCTCTGTAGGCATGGAAGATTACTAAAGAGTTGCTGATCTTCAGTCAATATAGGAAGCCCGAAGAGTCTAGTTCTAACATCAGCAAAGCAATGTAGCATTTGTAGCAACAGAGTAGACAAGCTTGCTAGCAAGAGTGAAGGCAAATAGGCAAAAATCACAGCTTCCACTCTTGTCTCTGTGTCCTTTCATCTGAGCTGCCACCAGAAGGTATTGTTTACATTATAGGTGGCTCTTTCTACTTCAAATAATCTGATCAAGAAAATCCTTCAAAGGTGTGCCCATCAGCTGGCCGTTTAGTTGACTCCAGATCTAGTCAAGCTGGTGACCAAGATTATCCATCACAGTTACTATTTTTATCCTAATATGTATTTATTCTTCTTCATAAATAAACCTATAATAACATATTTGAATTTCCAACACATCATCCATTTAAACAAATTTCCCCCATTTTATGTTTATTGGATTGTAATAGTTTCTCAACTGGTCATTTTACAACATATTTTCTTTTGCTATAAAACATAGCATAAAGAGTGGCTTGTTTGGCTGAGGCTATTCCTACAGAAGAATAGCACAATTAAAATGATAAAGTGCCGTGTGCATAGCAGTCCAGGCACATTTATCTAAAGGTTAGATCAATCACTCATCCTGGAAGACATCACAATTTCTCCCTTCATATGGCAAATTACTTTAAGCAGAATCTTGATGTATTTGTTACCTCATTATCTAGAAAAATCTGTTCTTGTGGTTGTTCTACAAGAAAAGTACTTCACCAATGGAAATACCAAAACCTTTCCAATTATCTCATTCAGACCTCATAAAATTCCATAAGGAAATTATTTTTAATTTTCTTTTTAACATGATTCTACAGGTATAAGATTTGTACAAAAATTTTCTATCTACTGACTAGTGAATTCAGAGTCTGGGATTTGGGTAGGTTCAAATGACTCCAAACCCACAGATGGGTGATGTTGTTCTGTATGCTGTGAATATGTGTTGCTCTGACTGGTTGATAAATAAAGCTGTTTGGCCAATGGTGAGGCAGAATAAGGTTAGTTGAGACATTCTGACTAGAGAGAGAGAAAAGAGAAAGAGAGAGCAGAGGAGACGCTGCTAGCTGCTGCCAGAAGAAGCAAGATGTAAAATACAGGTAGGCCACAAGCCATGTGGCAAAGTACAGATTTTTAGAAATGGGTTAATTTAAGATGTTATAGCTAGCTAGTGAGAAGCCTGCTATGGCCATAGTTTAAAAATAATATAAGCCTCTGTGTGTTCATTTGGGTTTGATTGGCTGCAGGACTGCGGGGCTGTGGGAGCTGGGTAGGGCCAGAAAAACTTCAGCTACAATCCCCTGTTTGTTATTTCACCTTGTTAGTGTGGTCTTAAATATCACTACCGGGAATGGGAAAAGATAAGATAATGACTTTCTAAGTGATGTTGGGCAAGCCACAATTCTCATTGGAGTTTTATTTTAATCATGATAAAATTTAGTCTCTTCTCTTAAACCAGGAGATAAATAAAAATTTGGACTTTATATTTCTGCTTTAAGAATTAGTAATAGTCAGTACAGTTATTTTACAGAAATACTAAAACAAGCAAGAGTTTGAACAAAAAATTACATACCCCTGAGTTTAAGTGTTGGAAATACTTGAAAAGGTCACCTCTGTAGTCTGCATTTTATTGACGAGGAGTTTGTTAAGGAGGTGCTGAGGCAGACCAAAGAGAAGGACTTGTGGCTCAGTTGACACCCAGCATTTTCCTCCTTAAAACAGGACTTGAGTGGTTGTCGTTGTTGTCTTCCTGATGGGCAGGGAACACAGTCACAGGCTCAGGTCTACCAGTCGGAGACTCTCAGGAGCCTCTACACACCAACCTCCTCAAAGCCTGCTTGACCTCCTTGTTCCTCAGTGTGTAAATGAAAGGATTGAGCATGGGAGTGATTATTGTGTAGAAGACTGCCGGGGCTCCCGCCCCTGCCCCCGTGGAGCTTGGCTGCAGGTAGATGCAGACAGGGGGCATGTAGTATAGGAGCACCACGGTGAGATGTGCTGTGCAAGTGGAGAAGGCTCGCTGCCGTCCCTCCGCTGTGCGAATGCGCAGCACTGCGGCCACAATGAAGACATAGGAGATGATGATGAGAATGAGGCAGCCTGCAGCCACCACGCCAATGTTTGCAAGCATGACAAGCTCATTAATGGTGGTGTCTGCACAGGCCAGCTTCAGTACTGGAGGGATGTCACAGAAGAAGTAGGCAATATGGTGAGGCCCACAGTACAGCAGGCGGAAGGTTAGGGAAGTGTGAATTGCAGAATGCACAGCCCCTATGGCCCAAGTGCTCCCAGCCAGCCCTGCACACACCCGCCTGTTCATGGCCACTGGATAATGCAGGGGCTGGCAGATAGCCAGGTAACGGTCATAGGCCATGACTGTGTATAGAAAGCACTCAGTGCTGGCCAGAAAGTGGAAGCAATAAAGTTGTACAGCACAGCCATGGAAGGAGATCACTTTCCCATCCAAAGTCAGTAGGCCTGCCATGACCTTGGGAACTGTTACTGTAGACAGACATGCATCCAGGAAGGAGAGGTGGCCCAGGAAGTGGTACATGGGGGAGCGGAGATGAGGGTCAGAGCCCACAGTAAGGAGAATGAGGAGATTGCCAGTCACAGTGATGCTGTAGATGAGGAGGAAGAGGAGGAAGAAGAGGCCAGGATGCTCAGCTGTGTACATCAGACCCTCTAGGAAGAAGTGGCTCACCATAGTCTGGTTCAGGTACTCTGTCTCCACAGTCATCTTCTTATCCCCTGTTCAATAAAGCTGACTGTAATAGAATAAATAGCTGCCCTCTTTCCTCAAATGTCTTTATTGTTTGGTGCATTCCATCTTGGCCTTGTTTCATAAAATAAGAAGACTAACAGGTTCAATTCAACTTCCTCCTATACTTCTGTTTTCATATTAGACATTCTTGCAAAAATAAAGTTTTGGAGGCATGACCCATAATTTTGTAGGGTACATATGGATTGTAAGAATTGTCTGTAGAAATGCAGTCCACAAGTTAATTATGTAAACACAGAGGACAAATTCTGCCGCCATTGAGGAAGTGATTTTGGCGTATACTTGAGAATGGTGATACTCCTGCCTCCTAATTTCCTCTTCTGTGTTTTGCATGCACCCAGCCACATACTTAATTGCTGTTTGTCATTTGGGAACAGCATTCATCTCTGGGCTTATCTAGAATCAGAGGGCTATTACATCAGCCAGGAACACATCTTCCTGCCCATTTCTCACTCAGAGGGAGTTCTTTGGAATCTTAACTACCCACAACCCTCAAGAGTATGACAATGAAGCCCATGAGAACAGACTATACAATTATGCAAACTATTTGTTTAGTATAGTTCATATTCTCCCCATAACACTTTTCCTTACACTTTGGGAGTTATTTTCCCATGTCTTTCTTGGTGTTCCTCTCTATTGGTTTAGAACTGAAATTTTTGATACATTCCATACTGTATATTAGATCCTGTATCATGTGAAAGTCTCCTTCATTGGCTTTTACCTATAATGTCTTCAATTTCTACATATTTTCCCTAAGGTTTGTCTTGGAGTATAATCTTAGGCACCACCTCTTCTAGTATTCAATGATTGTGATGATTATATATTGTGTGTCTCAGCCTTCTGAAAACACCTTAACTATGACCCTTTACTCTTGCTACACTGTTTTGTGACATCCAACTGTATTGATGTGTCTTTCCATTGTGATAAAAAGGCTATCTTCTGCAGTCCACCCATCCAGGTGTGTTAATTGATGTATCTTCTCTGCTAAAATTTCTCTCCAATATAGTCATGGCATTCCCCAACATTCACCTTCCTTAATTTATTCTGCTGGGTGAGTGTTTAAACTTTAATTCCTCAGAGATCCACTTATACACATTATCCTTCATATTGATTTAGAAATTCCTGAAACCTAATGGAAATACGAATTTCCATAATTCTTTGTCTTGGGTGATTTGATATTCTGTGTTTGTGTCATGTTTCCTCAAGAAGAACACAGGGAAAGGGTCTCACATGTTCTCTAGTTTCTTCCTGACAGTTTAGAGATAGAACAGTAGCAATAAGAAGGAACCACAGTTTTGGGATTTTTATGAACTTCAGTTTGAAGTCCCCAGTTGACCATTTATCAGGTGAATGAAACAGATAGTGACAATGATCTACCTGTTGTTTTTCCTTTCCTTAAATGTTTAATATGGATATTGTCAGTGATTATTCAATGTTGCTATTCAATGTTTAGGGCTGAGTGAAGCTGATAGGATAGGACCTTAAATTCTTCATATCCAATAAATGTATCAATGCATTGATAATTGTTCTGATATTTCTGACAAAAACCTATAAAACCTCTGCTTCGCCAAGCTCAGAAAAGTAGTGAACTCTATTTCATGAAAGATCCCACACCAGTGTTGAATAGGATCTTGTATTTCAGTTTTATTTACATGTTTTGTGCAATTGTCCATGATGTTTTAACAAATGAGATTTTGATTTTTGTGTTCTACAGTCACTGGAATGAATATGATCAAAAATAAGATAGAGGGACAGGAAGACGGCCCAAAGAATAAAGGTGCCTGCTGGCATCTCTGACAACTTGAGTTCGAGTCCCAGGACATACACAGTAGGAAGTGAGACCAACTCCCTTCAGTTTGTCTGACCTCCACACACATACCATGGCATCTACATATACACAAAACAAGCTAGTAAATAAATGTAATAAAAATTTAAGAATCTGATAAAGAGTAAAAAGCATATTAGATGTGGAGAAATTTGAACACACAATATATATATAAGCTGTTTCATAGAAAGTTAAAAACTCAGCTGGGTGGTAGTGGCACATGCCTTTAATCTCAGCACTCGGGAGGCAGAGCCAGGCGGATCTCTGTGAGTTC